CCTCAGCCAGCCAGCGGAATCTTGCCTCTGTAATGGATGGAGTAGCCGGGGACCCTTCTAGAAGTTGACTATATAAGGGCACCTGAAGTCCTCGCTGGTGGGAGCGGGGAGAACCCGATGAGATCATCGTGGGTACAAAGGTTTGGTAAACAGCGAAGGACTCAGAGGACTTTATCATTGCAAACGGGCTGGGCTGGAAAATGGAACAGCACACCCACAGGCTGTACCCCAGGGCCTTTGCATCGCAGCCTGGAATCCATTCCTCCCTCCAGATACAGCAAATTATCAGTATCCTCCTTCTGCATATACCTCACTCTCTTCTCTTACAGCCCACGTGACACTTGATGAATGCCGCCTTCCCTAACCACGATTTTTAAAATTGCAACCCAGCCCACCACCCCCCCACCCTTTCCTGAATTATTTTTCTCCATCGTGCTTATCACTGTTTATCATTCCATATACACATTAGTTCCTGCTCTGTTGTAATTCTTTGTTTATTGTCCCTCTCCACCCACTGGGACAGGAGTCGGCAAGCTTTTTCTTAAAAGGTCCAGATAATAAATACTTTAAGCATCACAGGCCTATGCTGCCTGCCGGAGGGGAAGAAGCCACAGGCCACACTTAAACTATTGGGCTTTGTTCCAACAAAACTTTATTTACAAAAAACGGGAGGTGGGCCAGATACGGCCATGGCGCCATGGCGTGCAGACCTCTGCGTGATGAGGTGGGTTTACTCCACCCCCAGTGACCCACCACCCACTGCACACAGTGGGTGCTCAATTAATGCTTATGGAGCAGACAATGGGCAAGGTCGTGATCAGCTAGGGCTGAAGAGAGGAGGGCAGAGGGGTGGCTCGAGGCTTCAAGGCTTCCATTCATCTTGTCTCCCCATACCCCTCAACTCTGGGAACGAGGATCTTTGTCCCTTTTACAGATGGGGAAACTGAGGCTCTGACCCCAAAATCTATGCTCTTCCACACCACCCAGACGCTAACCCCTATTTTCATGTTTTCATGCCCAAAGGGCCCTCCCTAACCAAACACAAATAAACACGCTTTCCCTTTCTATTCTGAAAGGTCGTTTTGGCCTCACAAGGAACTGCATTCCCCTTAAGATGTCACCACAGGCTATCGGAGCATCTTATCAGCACGACCCAATCAGGGTGACGGCCCAGAGAAGGGCTCATTCCAGCCGCCACGTGGCCCAGGCGTTTCCATGACAGCCACTGCAAACGGGCAGGACCCCCTGGATGAGGCGACCCTCAGACTCCCACCGATCCGGAGATCTCTGTGACATCTAAGCCGGGGATGGGCTGACGCCCTTGCCGCGTAAAGAAAGCATCTTATGGTTCAGTAAGAGGCGCAAGCCGCTCACAAACGAAGGGCGGGAAATGGCCAAATTCAGTGAAAAGTCCAAATTCAGTGAAAAGTCCAAATTCAGTCAAAAGTTCATACAAAGAAGTATGAAAACAGGATGATGTCATTTGCATCTAGCAAATCAGCGCATTTTTGGGTTAGGTTGCAGGGAGGCGGGGGCGGGAAGTGGCAGAGGGAACACTGCCACCACTGCAGCCGAGGTTCTGGAAGCAAACAAGCGGGTCTGGGGAGGGCCCGTGGAGCGGTGCAGACCCGCCTCCGGGGTCCCTCCCTCGGAAACCGCCAGACTTGTGTGAACCGACTAGGATGCCGGCTGCAGCCCACTGGCCTCGAGATTCAGTGCAACCCCGATGGAAGCCCTGGCAGAGGGTGTGTGTGTGTGTGTCTGTGTGTAAAGGGTGGGCGCCAGGGGCTGGGGGAGGCGGGGGGTGGGGGGTAGCGTTAAATAGGGATAGGGTTTCAATTTGAGGTGATGGAACGTTCTGGAGGCAGATGGTGGTGATGGCTGCACAGCAATGCGAATGTGCTCAATGCCACAAAACTGGACATCTAGAACTGGTTAAAATGGTACATTTGTGGAATGCGTATTTTACCAGCTTAAAAAAAAAAACGTTATAGAGAAACACAAAGGGTCAAGAACAGCCAAGGCGACCTTGAAGATAAAGAGCCACGTGGGAGAACTCAGAATCTTGAATACCAGAACGGGTACACACACGCAGTAACACAGCCGGTGCGGCCTCGCCACCGGTCCACTCGGACCTCCATATGGGAAAAGCCTCTCCTTCACACCACACGTAAAAACCCATTCCAGGCAGACCGTAGATCCACATGTGAAAGGCGAAACAAGAAAGCTTCTAGAAGAAAACACTGAAAATCCTTTCATGACCCAAAGGGCAGCCAAAGGTTTCTTATAGACCATATGAAAAGCACTAACCATAAAGATAAGATAAAGACACTAGATTATATTATAATTAGGAACTTCTATTCATCACATGACACCACAAGGGGAAAGACAAGCCAAGGGGAAAGACAAGGCGAGGCACTGGACAGAAAACGATCTGTGTGGTATTTCACCAATGAAGGGTTTATAGCCAGCATATATAAAGAACTCTGACAAACCAATAAGAAAAAGACAGACAACTCACTGTAAAAATAGGAAAAAGACTTGACCGGAGGATCATAAATAAGGGGGTCAAATGGCCAGTAAACCCACATCAAGATCTTCAGCCTCTTACACCTTGGAGAAAGTGGGAATTAAAACTACTACCCACCCACTCGAAGGATTAAAATGTCAAGAAGGAAAGATGGACAGCATTAATATGCTGCCAGAGGGGTTGTCAATTAGGACTACCACTCTCGAACAGTCTGGCAGAATCCAGCAACCTCTCTGATCCAGCCACACCCCGGCAGGTATGTGAACAAGTGAGCATCGCCACTCAGAATTCAAGAATTTTCCCAACAGCCACAGCCAAAAACGGAAAACGCCCCAAATGCCCATCCACAGCTGGGTAAACAAACTGTGACCTCATCATAGACGGGAGCACCCCCAGCAAAAAGGAACCACAGCCCCACAAATCTCACAACCTCACGCAAAAGGACACACTGTGTGCGTCCCAAACACGAGGTGCACAAGGAGGCGAGTCCAGCGTCTGCGGGTTTAGGCCAAGATAGGGGTCCCCATGGGACAGGGAGGGGGAAGTGACCGAACGGGGCGTCTGGGTTTCTTTTTGAACCTGGTTGATGGGGACACGGGTGGGTTCAGATGGTGAAAAACGAGTCCAACTGAACACAGATGATCTGTGCTCTCATTTCTGTGTGTATCTTAAACCCCAATAAAAAACGTCTTAAAGAAAGGTCAGCGGGGGCAGAGGGAGGCCAGTCTGAACACGAGCCCAGTAAAGAGTCCATGTGAGTCATTTTCATGGAACTCTCCGTAGATGAAATTTACAAAAACCGAAACAAATACATAAAAATGAGCCAAGAAAGAAAAATCCTTATTCATACCCCTCCCTCTCCCCAGCTCTCGGCTCTCTTGCAGAGAGCTCAGGCCCTGCTCCTAGATCCCTCACTTCCCCCCTGCTGTGTGACCTTGGGGAGGTAATGCAACCTCTCTGTTCCTTAGTTTCCTCTAAAGTAAAATGAAGAAGCCGTGACTGGGGCCTCACTTGTGTTCTCTGCTTCGTGGCACTCCCCTCTCCCGGGAGGAAGGTGCCACGTGACAGAAAAGCAAGGCTGAGGGGCAGAGCTCAAGGCTGGCGTGGCGGGCGGGGGGCTTACCAAGCGCATTCTTGATGCTGTGGCTGGGCCACGGGATCTGCGGCCACTGCCGCCTTCTCCGAACTCCCATCGCTGTGGCACAGGCCAAGGGTCTAGGGCTGCTCTGTTCCTCCAAGCTAAGCAAAGGTCCAGGAGCTGAGGGAGCCACCAGGCCAGATCAACCGGCTCTGCCCCACCCCGCCCGGAGGGGAAGGGTCCAGTGGGCCTGGGGGCTGGCCTGGGGGAAGCGGGAGGCCTGCCCCCTCCTCCCCACCCCACCCTGCCCCTTGCTACAGGGCTCCGCGGGGAGGCAGCCCTGACCCCCCCCAAGGTGGTCAGACCCCTCGAGGCATCTTTTAGCATCCCAGAGCTCCCAGCTCCTCACCACCACAGGCCACAGCAGGAGAAGGGCAACCTGGGTTTAACTCCAGTCCCTCCCCGTCCCCAAATATAGGCCCCCTGTGGGCTGGGACCCCGCCCCCTCCAACCAGACATCCAGCCCACAAAGTAGGTGCGGAGTATAAATAAAGGGAATCTCAAGGCAGCCGAGAGCCAAGGCCCCAGCCAGGCCAGTGATATGCAAAGGCACCCGCCCCGGTCTCGGCCTCGCCCCAGGGCTCCAGACATCCTTGAATCTACAGCAATTACAAAGGATTTCCCCACTGATTCCTCTTCCCCCAGCCAGGTCCTGGCCTAGAGGAAGAGGCAGGGATCGAGGGAGGGCCTTCCGGGAGCTGCGGGGGCAAAAGCTGCCCCCTCTGTGTGGGGCAGGCAGAGACAGAGGAGCCAGGGCCCCAGGCCCCTGGGCCGCGGCAAGGACAGCGGGCGGGACCCCAGAAGTGGGGCACAGCGCTCCATCGCGACAACTCCTTTCCCCAAAGGCTCCCGAAATGACGGTGCTGTGGTTTAAAAAGGGGAGAAAACAAGACGAATGGAATGGAGACCACCTCCAGGACACTGGAAGCGGGAAAACAGAGGGATCGATGGAGCCATGGAGGGTCTTGGGCTGGATTCCCGGGGCTGGGGGCGGGGAGGGGGGAGCAAAATGAAAACAGGATCTGGGTACAAGTCTCCATCCTTAAAAGGTAGACTCAGGTGTTGGAGGAGGGGCACACAGGCAGGAAAGGGAAACTGGTGGCAAGGAAAAACCTACAGACCCAGGGAGCCCCATCCTTGGATGTGAGTCCCAGCGCCTTGTTAGAGCCTCCTTTTTTTTTTCCCCCTGAGGAAGATTAGCCCTGAGCTAACATCTGCTGCCAATCCTCCTCTTTTTGCTGAGGAAGACTGGCCCTGAGCTATCATCCGTGCCCATCTTCCTCTACTTTCTATGTGGGACGCCTAGCACAGCATGGCTTGCCAAGCTGTGCCATGTCGGCACCCGGGATCCAAACCAGCGAACGCCGGGCCGCCAAAGCAGAACACGCTAACCTAACTGCTGTGCCACTGGGCCAGCCCCAAGTGTGTCCTTCTTAAATACAAAGAGTCACCAATCAGTCACCAGACGCCCCCAGAAGTCTTCACCAAATGAGGGACAAATGAGAAAAAAAAAAGATCCAAAGGAACAGAGGCAATGCATGAGAGAAGAAAATTCCAGGAAAAAATACAATTGACATCCTCCAAGTGCTGAGAACAAATGTATCCACGAAACAAGAACAGGATGCTATAAAAAAAAAAAAAAAGGAAAGAGGAGCATCCAGATTATAAGAAAGAATTCCTAGAAATTAAAAACGACAGCCTACTTAAAAAACTAAACTGAAGGGTTAGAAGACACGGCTGAGAAGATCTCCTAGAAAGTAGAAAAAACAAAGAGAGATGGAAAATAGCAAAGAAAGTTTAAGAAAAGTAGACGATCAGCCAGGACACCCAGTATCTAGTAGGAGTACTAGAGAGAAGAGCCAAAAGGGTGGAAAGAAAGTTATAAAATACTAATAAAATTAATAGCAGTTCAAAAAACTTTCAGACTGACGGACTTGAGTTTCTGGATTGATATGGTCTATGGAGCACCCATCACAGCAAAGGCAAAAAAGACCCCCAGAAAGTTGGGACATCAACTTGAAATTTCAGAACACCGGTGAGGAAAGAAGAACAATGTTAATATCTGTGAGGCTTCCTTTGTGCCAAGCAACGTTCCAGGGATTTAGGTATCTGAGCCCCATTAGTCCTCACACAAACCTTTTATGGAAGTAAAAAGCAAGCACTATGACTCATTTTACAAAAGAGAAAACTGAAGCGGAGGGTCAGGTAGCCTGGGCAAGGCCACGTGGCTAGTAAGTGGCAGAATGTGTCTGCAAATTGCAGAGCCCATGCTCTCAACTCTTACGTGGCTCTAAAAAAAGTTCGCGCACAAAGATCAAGAATGAAAATAGCATCCCACTTCTCAAAAGGAACAGTGGAATTGAGAAGGGGATGTTGCAATTCCTTCAGGACACTAGGGGGAAATTATTTCCAAAATGCCAGTCAAGCTTGAAGGTGGAATAAAGGTATTTTCAGACATCCTAGGCCTCAAAAAATTTGCCTTCCGTGTACGGTTTCACAGAAGGCTACTGCAGGATGTGCTCCGCCAAAACAAGGAAGGAAAGCATGGGAAGCAGGAAACAGGTGACCCAACACAGCAGAGAGGGAAAGTGAGTTTGAAGAATGATAGCTCTACGACAGGCCCAAGCACCCACCAGGTGAAGCAGAGGAGAGCAGGAAGATGGAAAATTCTAGGAAGCTAATCCCAGAAAAGAAAGAGGCAGCTCGTCCAAAGATCGGACCAAATGAAAAGGGTACCAAGAGACAGGAAGACAGAGACTCTCAGAGATCTCAGCAAATGAGAAAAAAGAAGCAATTCATAACCCCAGGAAATAAAGAAATGAATTTTATTATACCACTTGCCTCAAACATAAACAATATTTACAAAGCCAAAGCCATAATAATAAACCGTATATTTCACACCTACTGGGGGGATAGAGGAAGTAGAAATGGGCGGGGGGGGGTGATGTTACAACAACAGCAATCATAAGCATTTACTAATTGCTTTTTATATTCCAGATACTGTACTAAATGCTTTCCACGTATTAACTACTTAATCCTCACAACAACCTCAACCAGGCAGATCTTATTATTACTCCCCATTTTACAGAGGAGAAAAGCAGAGAACAAGAGGTAGACAAACCCGTCCACGGCCTCACACTAATAGATGGGAGAGGGGCCAGCCCGGTGGCACAGCAGTTAAGTGTTCACGTTCCGCTTCGGTGGCCCAGGGTTTGCAGGTTCGGATCACAGGTGTGGACAGGGCACCCCTTGGCAAGCCACGCTGTGGCAGGCATCCCACATATAAAGTAGAGGAGAATGCGCATGGATGTTAGCTCAGGGCCAGTCTTCCTCAGCGAAGAAAAAAAAAAAGAGGAGGATTGGCAGATGTTAGCTCAGGGCTGAGCTTCCTCCAAAAACAAAAAAGAGGGATAAAATGATATGCGACATTTCCTCTAAAGTTTATATTAAGCATAAAGCAGAACCGTGCACTTTCAAGCGGTGAATTTTACAGTATGCAAAGTATTCCTCAATGAAGCTTAAAAAAATAAAGGGAGAAAAAAGTTTAAAAACGCACACGCAATTAGCCATTACTACGTATTCACCAGAATGAATAGAATTTAAAGAGACTCACGATATCAAGTGTTGTCAAACACGTGCAGCTACGGGAAGGCTACTGCTGGGAATGTACGACCACTGGAAAACTCATGCCTGCTAAAGCTGAACCGACATGCACCCTGTGACTGAGCAATTGCACTCTCAGAGACTATATATCGCTCTCTCCAAAGAAATGCGTGCCTGCGAGCACCAAAAGGCCACGTTCAGAGCAGCTCTAGTCACAGCAAACTCTGGAAAGAACCGAAAAATCCATGCACAGGAGAGCAAATGAACTGTGCTCAGCTGATGGAGTGGAGTACTATACAGCAACGAGAAGTCAAACTACAGCCACACACAGCACGGGGCACTCTCCCAAGCATCAGGTTGAGCGAAAGCAGCAGAAACAAAAAAGGGCACGTTGTAGGATTCCATTTATAGGCAGTTCAAAAATAGGCAAAACAAATCGAAGAACAGAAAAGGAGAATGACGTTGGGTGCGGGTAGGTGGTGACGAGCGGACAGCAGAGGGAGCCCTCGAGATGCTGGAAGGGCGCTGAGCCCGAGCTGGCTGGCGGCTACCCCGGGGTGAGTTCATTTTGTAAAAATGCAATATCGTGAACACTCAAGATTGCAGCATTTTACAGGGTATCTGTTACACAGACAAAAAAAGGAGAAAAATAAAATGAAAATGATGAGTTCGGCTTGGGACCGTGGCATCTAAGGAGCCTGTGGACCACACACAATTAATACACAATTCCAGAGGCCCTTAGCGGGGACGGGCCTCCAGCAAAGGATTCGTGAGTCATCAGCTAATGAGGATCGTAAGGACAGCAATCGCTTTTACTCTAATTTGCGGAGGGCCGTACCTGCGAGAGGGACCCGGCTGGCACTTGCTCATTCAAACTTCACAGCAACCGAAGGAATTCGGTACCACGGAGGGACCCATCTTACAGCCGAGAAAACCGAGGCTTAGAGATCATCCACACCCAGTGAGTGCAGAAGCCAGATGGATCCTCGGCTCCTAGGCGAAAAGGCAGGGCTCCCAGCTGGCTCACGAACGCCCAGAATGTGCAAAATTGCTAGTGAGAGTGTATGAAGTGAGTTTTTGTTCCGGGCTGAGGGTCCATCCCTTTATGAGCTCGTGAAGGAACCCCGGATGCAGACGGTGGGTGCGTTCGTGGCCCTCAAAGGTGGCGAGGAGATTTGGCGGTTCCCACATAATGGCCTTGAATCCTCCAAAATTAGATGCCAGACCTCCGTGGGCAGTGGGGTGTAGTGAGGACCCTAGCCCTGGGGGCCAAGACCAACCACCGGTCAGGGCTCCCGGCAGCCCCTAGGGAGCCCCAAGACCTATCCTGACAGCGGCTCCCATTGGTGCCCTCAAAAGCTGGCCAGGGAAGCAGAGGACAGGGGTGGTCAGGGTGATGGGGTTGGAGTCTGGCTGGGAGTTAAGTCAGATCAGACCACAGACTGGTCCATGCCTGGAGCCAGGAGCACCCTAAGCTGGCCACATCCAAATCAAGAAGGGCCGATGCCACCCTTTCCCCAAATCCGTCCCTCCACGCCTGCCCGAGGGGAACTTTTCCAAAAGCCCGGCTGTGGTCCACACAGACCTTAGCAGCCCCACCTCCACAAGGCACCACATCCTAGCCACCTCCAGCCTGCCTCCCTGGTCACTGTCCCCTCCTCCACCACCTCCTCGCTACTCACTGGTCACCGGCTTCTCTCCGCATCTACCAGACGGCCTCCAGCCAGCAACCCAGACTAGTCTGGTTAAATGCTTATTTTGAAATAATTTCAAATTCAGGGAATACTTGAAACAGTACAACGACCTGCCACACGACCTTCCCCGGGCCCGGCAATGGTTACCCGCTTTCTCACGCTATGTTATTTGATGTCACCGGATCGTCATCTCCCGTATATACCTAAGCTGTAGATATTATCTTTTCTGCTCCTGAGCCACTCCTGAGACTGAGTCCTAGACAGCGCATCCCTTGCCCCTGAACGGCTCAGCGCTCTCGCTTCCGAGGAGCAAGGACATTCTCTTACATAACCACAGCCCGGTTATCAGCTTCATGAAACACAATATCGATTTGATCCTATCGGCTAGACTTCAGTCCACATTCCAATTTCGTCAATTGCCCCGATGATGCCCTTCCGAGTCATTTCTCCCCTGATCCAAGATGCAATCGAGGGCCACACATGCCTTCAGCTAGCACATTTTCTGCCTCTTTGAAATCAGGACCGGTTTTCTGCCTTCCTCGGTCTTGGGTGCCACGGACATTCTTTGAGTCCAGACGGGTTCTAAAAGTCCCTCCGTCTGAGTCACTCCCTCTGTTTAAAACCCTCCAGTGCTCTCTCCTTCCTCCCAGTTTGAAATTCCAAGACCTCATTACTGGCTTCCAGAGACCTGTAGGGTCCACCCTCCTCCCACGCCCCCCCCCCTTACCCGCCCACCATCAGGCTCACAGCCCCTCACCACTCTGGCCACAACAGACCCCCACATTCTCCTTCCTTCACGACCTGAACCTCGATTGAAAGTGATCTCCGTCGCGACTCTGTGTGTTCACTGCCTGGCCCCACACTAGGATGGGAGCTCCAATGAGGGCAAAGATTTTTGTCTTGTTTGGTTCCTGCTGGATTCCCAGGGCCAGGGCGGTGCCTGGCACGCAGGAGGGCCTTGGAAATCATCTGCTGAGTAAATGAACAAGTGTGGAAAGAAGGAAGAGCTGGGGGAGAGAGCTCAAGAACCAGGAGGCTCCGAGAGCCAGGGGGCTCTTCCACATTCCAGAACCTTCCCGAGGCCTCCCTGGTGTGTCTGACCAGACGAGGAAGCACCCAGCAAATCTCTCTTATCTTTGGGATCACCTCACTCCACCAGCCAGTCTACTGATTAATCTTT